TAATAAGGTAAATATTTCTAATTTATAATAATATTTAAATGCTATTATAAATAATATACTAATATTATAATTATAATTTAGAAATAAAAATATTTTATTTTTTATATATATTTATTTATATATTTTAAATTAGACATGTGTTTAAATAGGAAATATAATATTTTTTTTTTTTTAGTTTAACACTGTTATAGACTGTTATAGAATATCATTAAAACTTTAATTTTAATAAATTTACAGTTTGTAATTATTCTAAACGATTAAATAAAAATAAACATTTATTATTAAAATTAGAAAATGTATTATTATTAACCGGTTAACTAAATCAAAAATTAACCGGTTAATAATCGGTTAATAATCGGTTAAGGTTTTTTTTGCCAGTTCTAACCTCTACATTGGTAAGGGATAAGCTGGGATGAAAATAAGATAGCATACTGTATCATATGATAATCGTGAAGATTCTTTTCACTTCCAACTAATAAAGATGAAGTATTTATAATAGACTTTGCTCATCATTATATGATCTAACTAAATAAGTGATTAGCATAATTTTTTTTTTGGTCACATTTAATAAAAAAGGGGAGGCTTTAAATTTAAGACTTTACGGGTTTTATATTTTCCATATACGTACTAGATTTACAAATTCATCCACTATATCAGGAGCCAACATATGATTTTAAACACATTCCATTTCGCTGAATTCCCATTTTACCAGAACAAATTCGGGGAAACAGCTTTCGGTGAAAATGATCTAAAATGTAGTAGATTTTCGATCCGCCAAAAAAATAAATTATTCTATTTTGCTCCCTCACGCAATATATGAAGATATATTCTTTTTTTAAAAAAAAACAGCAAACAGTAATAAGAAAAAAAATTAAGAATGACGAAAGTAGAAAGGAAATAATTAAGAGATCAGTCAAACTCTCTTTTTTTATAAAAAGACTGTGATTTTACTTGCTTTGAGGTAACAAATCAGTCTTCAATACAAAAAACATATACATTTATAAAGAAAAACTAATTTTTTATTATAATCATGAAGTTTTCTGAAATTCTTTTATTAACTGCTCTCTTCACGGTAAATGCTTTACCACATCCTGGATATCCAATTGCTGAAAGATCCGAAGGGAATCCAAAAGATCCAAATAATCAATACCAAATTGCATCATACCCAATTGCCGAAAGATCTGAATCGAACCCAAAAGATCCGAATAATCCATCATCATAATCAAATTGCCAAATCATACCCAATTGCATCATATGCTAATACTCTTTAACTAGTTAATATTTTAATTAATTTTATTTATTTTTATTAGTATTTTTATGATATACATGTAAAGCATTATAATTAATAAATTTTATTCTGTTTTTATATATTAAAAAATTACATTAATATTAAATATTGTAGTTATTTTTATGTTTTATGTCTCCATAATTTAACTTTTTATTCTATAAATTCAGAAATTATGAAAGACATGTCAATAAATCAATGGATCACATGACATGTTACTTTATGTGTGAAGAAAAAAATTTTCAGAACCGGCTCTGTGCAATTAGAAATATTTAGATATTCTAGAATTTGTGATTGCACATAAGCCTTTATCACCATTTCCTTAAACTATAATTATATAATCAGTCAGTTCTTCACAACACAAAACAGATATATTGAGATACAGTCGACCCTCTCTACTGTCACACCCCTTGGGACCAAAAATAAAAAATGTGACTATAGTGAAAAGTGACTATATAGAAGGATTTTTTTATAGTATTACTAAGTATTGGTTTCAAAATGATGTGACTATAATAACATTGTGATTATAGAAGGGTTTTTTTATATAGTGTTAATAGGAACTGGTTTTTAT